CTTCCTGGCCTTTGACCTGCATCGTTTAGTGTAAATTTCCTGTGGGTTGGGGAGGGTGGTTCTGATGGTGTGTTCCGCTGAGCGGACCATCCTCCTCAGGGCCAAGAAGTCCTGCTGGGTGCTGCTGCCCATCCAGGTGGTGATGCTCCCAGCCAAAACACTCTCAATGCTGCAGGTGTTAAAGTTCCTGAGCACTTTGAGAGGGAGCTTAAAGTCCCTCAGGTGTCGGAGGAAGTAGAGACACTGTCGAGCCTTCTTCACCAGGGTGTTGATGTGACAGCACCACGTCAGGTCCTGCGTGATGTTAACACCCAGGTATTTGAAGCTCTCCACTCACTCCACCTCTGTCCAGCTGATCCTGAGTGGGTGATATGCCCTCTGCTGCTTCTTGCTGTAGTCCACAATCAGTTCCTTGGTTTTGCTGACGTCCAGGAGGAGGCTGTTGTCTCTGCACCAGTCCTCCAGGTGGGTGATCTCCATCAAATAGTCCTCCTCGTTGTTGTTGGAAATCAGACCCACCACTGCTGTGTTATCAGCAAACTTTATGATGGTGTTAGAGTCTGATGTGGACAGGCAGTCATTGGTGTCCAGTGAGTACAGCAGAGGGCTCAGCACACAGCCCTGGGGGGCACCAATGGTCAGGGTGCGAGAGGAGGACAGGTGATTCCCACTCGAACCTGTGGTCTGCCAGTCAAAAAGCTGTAGAGCCACCTGCACAGGGAGGAGGTGAGTCCGAGGTTCCCCCTAGGGCTGTGTGCTCAGTCCAATGCTGTTTACTCTGCTGACTCACGACTGTGCAGCGATGCATAGTTCAATCCACATCATAAAGTTTGCTGACGACACGACCGTACTGGGTGTCATCAGTAGGAACGATGAGTCAGCTTACAAAGAGGAGGTGCAGCAGCTAATGGACTGGTGCCGAGTCAACAACCTGTCTCTGAATGTGGACAAGACTAAAGAGACGGTTGTGGACTTCAGGAGCGGACAAAGGGAGCATGTTCCACTGACCATCGATGGCTCCACTGTGGAGACCATCCAGAGCACCAAATTCCTTGGTGTCCACCTGGCGGAGTCCCTCACTTGGTCCCTCCACACCAGCTCCATAGCAAAGAAAGCCCAGCAGCACCTCTTCTTCTTGCAGAGGCTGAGGAAAGCCCACCTCCCACCCCCCATGCTGACAATATTCTACAGAGGGACTATTGAGAGCATCATGAGCAGCTCTCCCCTCCATCAAGGACATTTACACCATATGCTGCACCCAAAAAGCCACCAGCATTGTGAAGGACCCCACACACCATTTACACAAACTCTTTACACTCCTGCCGTCCGGCAGGAGGTTCAGAAGCATGCAGGCCCACATGGCCCCATATTTTTTTTCATAGCCTGTCCAGGCAATCTTCGACAGTAAGGAAAAAAATGCACCCCTTCATCTTTCTCTGTCAACAAAACAAGGAAATGTCACCTGGCATCTCTCTTTTTACTGTGACTTTTGAGGTTGTTGTCTTTATTCCGTTTCTTTATCAGTGTAAAGCATTTTTTTCCAGGTGTCCCAATTAGTATAAATAAGTCGAATCTATCCATAAATTTGATGCTTTATTTTTATCTCGAAGTAGGACACAGTGTGATATCATCATAAAAGCCATGTTGTTTACAGGTAGGAAACACTGGGTTCTGTTCTTCTTGCCTTAGGCAGGTTGGAAAATAGTACAGCAGGAGAGTGGTCTGCTTGTTGAGGCAGAAAGCTGACCTAAAAACATACAGCGAACAATTTAGTATGGCTAATAAAGCATATTTGCAGGCCTGTCAGACATTAAAGCTCACTATGTGAGTGAGGCTGTAAGGCAGCTACCATATGTAAGCAACGCAAACAGTTTTAGAAGCCTAATAGAGAGCAGGTGGCAGGAATGCTAAAACGTTCAATTTATACTTCGTATGAAAATCAATTCAAGATCTTTCTTGAGTAGGTAGCATATTACTGTGACCATCATGTTTTGTTTTTGTCATGTTTTATCTAATTGCAGTGATGCAGCACAGAGGTTCCAGATCAGTCTGCACATACAATCGTATTACCACTCAGCCACAACTGGAGCTTTGACAATAAAGGACACAGATATCTTTGTGATAAAATACCATATCTCAAGTTAGTTCCAATTTCGCCAAGTTAATTATTGGGGAATGGAAAAATGAACAGAAAACAAGTTACAGGGAACCACTTTGGTTTGCTGGAAATGCTGGTATGGTTGCTAAAGCTAGAAAAGCTGCTGCTGCTGCAAATACCTGGCTCGTCAGCCTGTCTAACAAAAAATACTAAAAACTATGTGGTTTGGTTGAGGAAAATAGCACCCTTTGGGTTAAATATGACCCTTCCATAACATGTCAGAAGCTTCTTCTCCATTTTACTGTGTTCCCAGAGTGACAGGTCCTGCTCCATGCCATATATGATTGGTTGCCTGAAGTATCAGCAGTGGGAAGGCAATAAAACAAATAGAAAGGATATGCTAACTTGAAACATATTTGTGATACATAACAAACAAACATAATCTAGCAGAAAATATGCTTCCCTCAACACATATTTGATAATGCAGGTCAGCTGTACAGGAACACCATTTTAGGGAGGAAGGGCTGTGGCTACACACGGTCTTCATCTTAGATTTAGACATTTAGGTTTAATTGCTTAGTATGAGTATCCTGATCACGATTAGTCAGCATGAAAAACACACATATAGTCATGGAAAAATGTTAGACCATCCTCGTTTTCTTCAATTTCTTGTTCATTTTAATGCCTGGTACAACTGAAGGTACATTCGTTTTGACAAATATAATGATAACAACAAAAACAGCTCATAAGAGTTTGATTTATGAGCTGATATCCAACCACTTTCCATGGTTTTCTTGATAATAACCAAAATCCATTAAGTTCTTATATCAATAGCTATGGCATTGTACTGCCAAAAACAGGGCTTTTATGCATTCCATGTTTTCTTTTCTGTCTGTTTTAGTCACATGATACACACAGGAGTTAGTACTTGATTGTATAACCATTGTTTCTGATGACTGCAGTCATGCGTCTTGGCATGTTCTCCACCAGCTTCAGACATTGTTCTGTTGTCACAGCAGCCCATTCCTGTTGCGCAAATTTTCTTTGTTTTTGGGCTTGTGCTTCTCCATTTCGCATTTGATGATTTTCCACAGGTTTTCAATTGGATTTAGATCTGGTGATTGAGTAGGCCAAGGCATGGTTCCAATGTTCTGGTTCTCCATCCAGGCTTTAGCTGACCTTGTCATGTGGCAAGGGGCATTGTCTTGTTGGAAAATCCAGTCATTGGACGCAGGAAAGAGTTTTCTAGCTGATGGAAGAAGACTGTTTTCAAAAGTAGCCCTGTACATGACCTGGTTCGTTCGCCCTTCACACAGTTGCATTTGCCCTGTTCCACCTTGAAACAAGTCCAGATCGTCACTGATCCACCCCCATGTTTTACAGTAGGGGCAAGACACTCTGGTTTGTTGGCTTCTCCAGGCTTCCTCCTAACCAGTAAGTTGGCTGGAGTGGGCATCAACTGAAAATTGGATTCATCACTGAAGAGAACCTTAGCCCAATCATCAACAGTCCAATCCTACTGATCCCCAGCAAAGAGTAACCAGGCTTTCCTCTTCCTTTTGTTGATGAAGGGCTTCTTCAGTGCCCTGTGTGACTTCAGACCAGCTTAAAGAAGTCAGTTTCGAACTGTCCTTGCCAAACAAGTCACATTTCTCGACAGTGCCCACTCATTTTTAAGGTCCCTGGAGGTCTGACGATGATTCCTGACACAGAAACGGATGAGTGCATGGTCATCTCGTGGGGTAGAAAGACTGTTCCTGCCCCCACCAGCGAGCAATTTGGTCGTACCATGTTCGGCTCGTTTTTCTTTTTTGATGTAATGAACAGTTGTCTTGGAGATCTTCAGTTTATTTCGCTACCTGTCATGCCAATTTCCAGCAGTGTCAAGATGGTTGCCTTTGTGGTTTCACATTATTCTTTAGGGAATACAATCAAGCTTAAGCATGTCAAATAGGGCATACAGTATTATGTAATCAGCTGCATTTTTGTCGTATTCATTGTATTCTTCAGGTAATATACCTTTAGTGGTACCAGGCATTAAAATGAACAAGAAATTGAACAAAACAAGGGTGGTCTAATAAATTTTTCCATGACAGTATATCATTCTCAAGGACTCACACACTGCACCTTCTGTAACAGTAGTAAAGTAAAATGTAACAAAGAAAGAGAGTGTCAGTATTTCAACTCCTTAGAATGCACTGCAAGATTTTAGATGCAGGGAAGCATTGACCAATATGGTAGAAACAGTAACAGTGAAACCTAGAATCCTTGATCTTCTTGGATAAATCTGATGATCCTTTCCAACCATCTCTGTCAGGATCCCTGCCTCTGCTTTTTTTTTAAGCCTTTAACCAAGAGTTTGTCTTTTCAATAAACAATCTTTGTCTGTTCATGTGTTCTCTTTTGCATTTTCCCAGCACCACTCCTAGCCTTGTCTTTCTTGGTTTTGGTTCTGTGCTCTGTGTGTTGCAGTATGTGTTTAGCATTATTCTCTGCCCAGTCTCCCAGCTCCTTTTCTTAATTATTATTATTGTTTTTTTTGGTTTTTTTTTTGTAAATTCTTTGCTCTGTAATGGCATCCATGCATGCAGTTCTGGTGTACTGGTGTGTTTGCATTTAGCCTTTTGTTTAGTTTGTTTGCTTATTCCCTTCCCCTTACTGTTCCCCTGGGTTGTTTCCTCTGTCTTTGGTATCTACACTTTTATTTTATTTCATAATTCACTTTTGTAAGCAAACACTTCACTTAGTCTCTGATCTCGTCATCCTCATTAGTGTCTGCACCTGGCTTCTCTGTAAACCCATGACAATCTCAGATGATCTTAGTTCTTATTTGATTGGACAGGCTGGACAGGTTTTGTGATGTTAGATAGGAGTACTATGAGGGTGAGCAGAATTTGGGTACCTTTAGTGCACCAGAGTCTGCAGCAGATCCAAGATCTACCCCGGTGATGTAAATCCCAAGTCCATACTCTGCACCACCCCTGATCATCAGACCCAGAGAGTGGCCATCATCCATGTTCAGGTTTACCTGTAGGAAAGACATGACATTCAGATGCCCAGTGCTGTCCATAAAACACACTTTTTGGTATATTAAAAAAAAACACACACACAGGTCATATTTTGAAGGATTACTGTGGACTTGTATGAAACAGGAAAAACAATCAGGGTGTGTTTAAAGAACAATCGACTACTATTGTTGTCAGGGCCTCTTCCTCTGGCTCTGCCTAGTGGTGGGGTTTCTCTCTCTTCTCTTTTTTTCTCCATAGGTGGGTGTGTTTGGCAATTGGAAGGTGTGGGCAGGTGCAGAGGACCTGCTGATTACCTGAGTGTCTTCACCTGCAGCGGGGTGTGGTTTCGAATTATCTGATCACCTCTAAAAAAAAAACAGCCAAATGTGGCTTTGAACTGTTGTCCCATGCAACTTACTAACCCAACCTGGCTCTGTCTGACTTCAGTTTTCCAAACTGAAATGCCATTTGCATTTTCAGTCATGATGAAGCCATCCATGCTGTTGAGGAGGATCTGGAGGCTCAAGATGTAGCCTTCTTGCATGTCGAATAGTAAAGCAGACTATGTTGCACTATATTGCAAGAGTAATCTTTCTCCTGTGATTTTTTTTTCCTCAGAATACAAGATGTCCCTTCATTAGAACTCCAGTGAAAGTCTTTGTGCAATGCAGGCTTTAACGTTTTACATCACACTGATTTAAGTTTTCTATTGGACCAGGACTGTCTACTAAACAATCCATTAGCAGGTGAAGGTCGTGCAACTAAGGATGTGGCCTTCTAGTGTCAAACTGAACAAACATCATTCTGAACAGTGAAACACAAACATCTTAGAAGAGTAACAACAAAAACAACATATTGGAGAGGAGGATGGCATTAAGGTCTAATAGCAAATAGCTCCACCAGTGGAAAAGTCGTCACACATCATGACATGATTTATTAAGCTCTGTATATATATATAAACCATCCAGCATCATATAGTGCTTTAATTTGCACTCGACTCTGCACGTTTTACCATTTTGATCAGGTATGAGGAATTTCAAACTGAATTCACCTTTTTATACCCAAATCTGAGCTGGCTCACTGGGCTTCTCTGAGAAGCATAAACAAGCATAACATTCAACCAGTAAAACATTTTTGTCTGTTCAGGATTCAGAATTTGACGTTTTAATCAAGAAATAATAACATGCTTTAGTATTTTTTTCTGTTTTTTTTTTTTTAAAGCAATTTTGAAAAATCATGACTAACAACAACAACAACAACAACAATAATAATAATAACAATAATAATAATAATAATAATAATAATAATATATTAAAAACTATTTTGGTAATCATCAATGCTGTTAATTTAGGGCAGCTGTGGCATAAACCTCAGACTGGGTGGTGGTCTAATAAATCTGTTAAGCACTGTACATTTTGCTCTCTTGTACCACCACCCCACATACATGGTGGGGTCTTACCATCCTCTCCTCCATGCTATGCCCGTGCCTCTGGTTGGCCTCCTGGCTGTCAGGTGGTGGAGAGACGCTCCGGCCCTGAGGGTCTACCCAGCTGTACACATGGTTAGTGCTGTAGCCTCCAGGGATCCGTCCCATAGAACACACAGACATGGTCAGCTTCTTGCATCCTTTCAGCACCTGCATCAGAAGAGAAAGATGAGGTCATGGCTTCTTTGAAAGCACTAAATGTGGCTGAGTTAATGACTCGGTACAACTGTGCTTTCATATCATGTTAGGGCCAAGAAACTGAACAAAACCAATGAATATAGACTCTTCTGGCACAGAGGCATGACCTTGTAAGTCAGTATATAAAGATGGCTCTGTAAGCTGCCATCAATAGTTGGAACAAAACTGTGCAAGATTTGCAGGATAGCTTTGAAAATTTTGTTCCAAAGTTCCAAAGTTGGTCAGACAATGTATCCACAATTCCGCTAATAGTTTAGTACGGAAACAATGTTCGTGTCCCTCATTCATATCATTTAAGCATGGAGAAACTAAACGCAGTGGGATCCAGGCTTTAACACCTCATTAAAACTCAGCCTAATATTGGGCATTAGAATACATGGTATGTATTGTGATATAAAAAAAATACAAGAATTATTACCTTATGACATTAAAAAAATGTATGTCAGTAATAAATCAATCTAGAATTGTTGGGGTGATTTTATAGGGAAGTGCATCTGTATAGAAAACAAAAATTTTTTTATTTTTTTTTTACTGTGGATATTTTTGTTTGTTGCAAATCAACCAAAGTAATTAGTCATGTTGCCTTGTAGAGTGGCAACAATTACAACTACTAATGATAAAATCAGCATCATCCTTTATTTAGCTGGTTTGCGCTCATCTAGGAATGCCTGCACATCCCCTATTGTTACAGTCCTCCTTCTTCATGAACATAAAGTATTTTCATAAAACTGACTAGAGCTACACAATTATGGCAAAAATAATAATCAGCATTATTTTGATCAATATAGAGATCACGGTTATTTATCACAATAATTCACTGATTTTTAGAAATTTTTTTTATTTTTATTTTTTTACACTTCAATAAACAAGGCTTTCACTCCATGTTCACGCTCATTTAAAACACTAACTCTGGACACATGCTTCAGACTTGGCACAGTGGTTATCAAAAGAAACTAGAGTTTCTGTGCCAGCTCAAACAATGTGAAGAATGCTGCATTACATCAACCTCTATGGAAGGTGTCCAAGAAAAGAAAACCCTTGCTTGCTCTTTAGCATAAAACTCTAACATGAAATTTTGTTAAAGCATATGAAAGGGAGCCTGATGGATGCTGGGAACACATTCTATTGTCAGCAGAGCCAAAGATGAATTTGTTCAGCTTAGAAGAGACTCATTCTAAGGATGATAACAATCCAAGCACACTACCAAAATCAAACAAGAGTTTCTGAGGGGAAAAAACGAAAACTGACTTGAATCCATCAGAACACCTTTGGATTATTTTAGAAAACAAAACAAAACAAAAAACGCAACACAGCCCCTCCAGCAAAGAGCAGCAAAAACAAAAACAAAAAAAGCCTCTAAACAATGACAGTAAATCTCTTCACAAACTTGTGCAACGCTAGTATCCTCTATACCAAGAAGGATTGAGTCTGTGACCAAAAACAAAGGTCGACACATGAAGTATTGAAAAAAAATCAATGAAAGGTGTACTGACAAGTCACTTTTGTTGTATTAAAGCAGGCATCTTTGAAAATCCTGCCAGTACCTCAACATATCCAATAAAATTTTCTGTTGTCACTATAAATTAACATTATATAGCAAAATCGGATATTCTTTTTTAGAAAGATTATTTTCAGGACTTTTTTTTTTTTTTTTTTTTTGTCTTTATTGGAGAGGACAGTGAAGAGAGACGGGGAAACGTGGGGACAAGAGTGAGGGAAGGATATGCAGTAAATGAGCCACTGGCTGGACTCGAACTGCAGTTATCCAGTTGAGCTACTGGGGCAAAATCAGATAATCTGTATATATACATTTTACTCATATGTACGAATAAGTCTAATACCAATAACTTGCCAACATGCCAATTTAACAAAACTGTGATTATCTGGGGAAAAAACATAATCCCCTCCCAATTTGTTTCAAAATGCACAGTATTGACTGTACTGCTTACTACTTACTTTTCAACAATTCCATAGTTTCATTTTGCAGATGCTTTTATCCGAAGCAACATATATCTGAGAGTAGAGACAACACAAGCAAGGATCTAGTCAGGAGAAAACATGGATAAGTGCCATAGAAAAAGTTCAAGTGAGATAAGGCATTGATGCCAATAGTAGGCTGTGTGGGAGGTAATAGGAATTTTTGTTTGTTTGTTTTTGTTTTCAGTCTGTCAAGTGCAAAGGTGTTCAGCTGGATCTTTAGTCTTTTCTTAAAGACTGAGGGGAATCAGAAGATTGAACAGAGTTTGGTAACTCGTTCCACCACCAGGGAATCACAGAGGAGAAGAGTCTATCTATTGACTTCGGGCCCTGCTGTGGTGGTTGTATCAGGCGACTTTTGTTGGCTGAGCATAGTGAACAGGAGGGAGTGGTAGACCCAAATGAGAGAGTTCAGGTAGGAGGGAGCTGTTGTCATTGTAATGTTGTGGGCAAGTGTCAGAGTTTTGAATTTGATGCGGGCAGCAACTAGAAGCCAGTGAAGTGATCTGAACAGTGGGGTGACATGCTGTTTTTGGCTGGTTGACAACCAGACGTGCTTCTGCATTCTGGATCATCTGCAGAGATTTGACAGTTGATGCGGGGAGAACTCCCAGTAAGGTGTTGCAGTAAGCAGTGCATGACGTTATGAGAGCGAGTACCAGGAGTTGTGCTGCATGTACAGACAAAAAAGGTCTGATCTTACTGATGTTGTACAGCACGAATCGACATGACCGAGCAACAGAGGCCACATGAGCTTTGAAGGTTAGTGGGTGATCAATTATTACACCCAAGTTTCTGGCAGATTTTGTGGGTTTGAGTTGGGTTGAATCAAGCTCAATGTTGATTTCTTGTTGTAAAGAGGGAGTGACTGGGAAAACAAGGAGCTCAGGCCTACAAAGGTTGAGTTGAAGGTGACGTTTTTTCATCCATGCCGAGATGTCTGCAAGGCATGATGAGATCCGGGCAGAGACCGTGTGGTAGTCCAACAGGACGAGCTGGGTATCATCAGCATAGCAATGGTGTGAGAAACCATGGGCGTGGAATATTGCATCAAGTGAGGTTGTGTATACTGAGAAGAGAAGGGGATCGAGCACTGATCCTTGAGGAACCCCTGTGGATAAGTTGTGAGGTTCGTACACTTCTCCCCTCCAGGATACTCTGAAGTATCTTCCTGAGAGGTAGGACACAAACCAGTGGAGAGCAGATCCTGAGATGCCAAGCTCAGTGAGTGTGGAGAGGAGGATTTGGTGTTTAGCTGTGTCCAAGGCAGCTGACAGAGCAAACAGCAATAGAGCTGAAGACTGTCCAGTAGTCCTAGCAGAACACAACGATTCTGTTACAGATAGGAGTGCAGTCTTGGTTGAGTGACCCCGTTTAAAACCACACTCATTTTAGTCTCGGTTGAAGACAGTTCACTCAACTATTTTAGACAGGAAGGGCAGTGGTGACACTGGTCTGTAGTTTTCAACCTGGGCTGGGTCGAGTGTAGGTGTTTCTAGAGGACTTATGGTTCATAGAGTGGCTGGTCCAAGTTAGAACACAAACAGCATTTGCATACACAATCCTGTGCCACCAGCCGTTTTTGGAAGATTTGACTATTATTCGTTCCTATTTGAATCTAGAGGCATTTTACCAAACAGTGACTTTGAGTAACAATGCCTGCCTGTCTGTTGATGCGCATACATATAGTTGAACCTTTGTTTGCTATTTAATCAATTTTCTGCTCCTTTCAGCTCTGCTATTTACACGACTAAAGCTCTCCAGCTTCCTGCATCTGCTGTCACATCCTTTAGTTGTTTTATGAGAAAGGGACAGAATTAGAGGAGGCTTTGAGGCCACAGTGCTGACTACTACTGTGACTCATAAGGATGCTGGTGGAGACATAGCAAAGACACCAGGACACAGAGTGAAAGAGGGTAGAGTCTGGTCTTACATGGCGGTGTTTAATTTCCAGAGCTCATTTTTTTCAGTTAATCTAGGTCAAAAATACTGTTGTGTGACCCTTTACTATGGCAAAACTAAAATAAAAGCTTAAACTCAACAAAGTAATCCTTGGAAAGGCAAACAGAAATGCAGATGTATTGACAATTGTATTGAAGTGCTACAATCCAGTCTTACTTAACATGTTTGCATCTGTTGAGTCTGTGTATGCCCCTAATCGAACAGTATCTTAACTGATTGAACTGCTTGATCTGTTGATCAGTGTCTGACATCTTTTAAAGGTTGCGTCACTTCATGGAAAGAAAAACATACTGGACTTGGGTGCTAGTTTCATCTGCATTCCTATTGAAAATGAGAGTGTTTCATTCGTATACAGAATATTTACTGCTTTGTGTGTTTTTGTTTTCCACCTTTTACAAATCTGTCTAACCCAAAAAAGACCTGCACTTTTCATTGTCTTCCACATGTCTTAGAGCAATGTAGCTTGCAAACAAAGGGTCTAGAGAATGTGCTTTTGCACTATTTTAGGACAGTGTGATGTTTATCTAAAAACAAGTTCTGAAATTTCTGTCTGTCTGTATCAAAGTGGACACGTCCTGTTTCTAAGATGTGGAAGCCGCTTGCATTTTTCTACCATTCTCTCCTTGTTTCTTTCACTTGCCCTTTGTTTCTGTTCAGGTACTGTTTGGATCTTTCCATATAAGAAGTGTAATGAGTGATTATGATAGGCTACAGTGACTTCCTTCGAAACATTTAATAACATAACATAGCCAGACAGTCCCTATAATCAATAGGGTGACGTGCCACAGTGTATTTGCTTTTCCTTTTCATTCTTTACAACTGCCTCCGTTTCATCATCCCAGGAACCAAGAAAGTAATCTTGTATAACTTAAATCATCCCAGACAGATTTAAAAGTGCCCAGAGTTTGCAGCTGTAATTAGTGTTTGATGAGAACTATATGAAGTTGCTCTATTCACTGTTGTTTTCCTGATGCAGATCAACACCAGCCTGATCACTGATCCTGACAACCCCA